TCAGCCGTGGAGGCATTTCAGACAGCTTCAGACATGAGATCAACTCTACTTGGTGACCACCAAGACACGGCCGATAGCTTCCACAGCCTTGGGCTATCACAGTTTCGCGTGCGAAACCTCAACAAAGCGTTAATATCTTTTAAAAAGGCCTTGCAACTGAGGAAGAAACTTTCAATAGGAGATCACGGCAAAATTGCCGATAACATTAACAACATGGGAACTGTGTATGGCAAGACGGGCGATTATAAGTCTGCAAGGGAACAATTTCAGAATACTGTAGACTTGCATAGAAAGTTAGTCGATAAACACAGAAGCACTGCCACTAGTTACGACAATCTAGCTATGACACATCATGCAATGGGAAGCTACCCAGAAGCCCATGAATGTTGTATGCAGGCTTCGATCATGAGACTCGAGGTTTTAGATCAACACGTACGTACAGCAAACAGCCTCCATAAGCTGGGAGAGGTTCATCAGAAGCTGGGCGATTCCATATCGGCCGTTAAGGCATTTAAGACTGCGTCATACATGAGATTAACTATATTTGGTAATCACCAAGACACGGCTGAAGGCTACTACGGGCTTGGGTTAGCGCAGTGTGAAATGGGAGATCTCAAAGGAGCTTTGGAATCTTTGCAGAGGGCCTTGCAAATGTTGAAGAAACTTTCAATAGGAGATCAGCCCAGAATTGCTGATATCACTAGCAACATAGGAGAAGTGTATCACAAGATGGGAGATTACCACTCTGCTAGAGAACAGTTCCTGGATGCTGTAAACTTGTATAAGAAGCTAGTCGATAAACACGAGAGCACGGCCACTAGTTACCACAACCTAGCTATAACGAATCTGGCAATGGAACGCTACCCAGAAGCTCTTGAATGTTTTAAGCAGGCTTCCACCATGAGACTAGAGGTATTAGGTCAGCACATACATACAGCAAACAGCTTTTATATGCTGGGAGTGGTTCATCACAACATGGGCGATATTGCGTCGGCCGTTGAGGCATTTAAGACAGCGACAGACATGAGATCAGCTGTACTTGGTGATCAGCAAGACACAGCTGAAAGCAACAACATGCTTGGGCAAGCGCATTTTGACATAGGAGACCTCAAAGAAGCTTTGGAATATTTGCAAAGTTCTGACAACTAATGAAAAAACTTTCACTAGGAGATCATAACGACGTTGCTTATTGCCATGACAACCTACCTAGGGCGTTTGTATCTCAAGATGAGTGGTTTTAAGTCTGCTAGAGAACAAATTCAGAATGCTGTAGACACGTGTAAGAATTTACTCGATAAACAAGAAAGCACTGCTACTAGTTACTACAATCCCGCTATAACGTATCTTGCAACGGGAGGCTACCCAGAAGCTCTTGAATGTTTTAAGCAGGCTTCTACCATGAGACTCGAGGTATTAGCTCAGCACATGCATACAGCAAACAGCTTTCATACGCTAGGCGTGGTTCATTAAAAGATATTCGGCATTCCAGTCAGCGATAGACATAAGATCGACTCTACTTGGTGATCACCCAGACACGGCCGAAAGCTACCATTGGCTTGGGTCGGCGCAGTCGGACATGGGAGATCTCAAAGGAGCTTTGGAATCTTAGCAGAAGGCCTTGCAATGGAGAGGAAACTTTCAGTAGTAGATCACCCGCCATTGCCGATATCACTGACGATATAGGACTTGTGTATTTTATAGTGGGCGATTAACACTCTGCTAGAGAACAAATAGACTTGTTTAAGAAGCTACTCGATAAACATGAACGCACTGCTATTGGCTAGCACAATCTAGCTGGGACGCATTTTGCCATGAAGAGCTACCCAGAAGCTCTTGAATGTTTTAAGGAAGCTTTGACCATGATACTCGAGATATTAGGCGAAGACGTGTACACCTTTCATCGCCTGGGAGGGGTTTATTACAGCGTGGGTGATTTCACGTCAACTCTTGGCGCCTTCCAGAAAGCGGCCCGCGGGAGACATGAGATGAAATTTACTTAATGATCACACTGACATGGCAGGGAGCTACCAAAACGTAGGGTTAGCCCTTTTGTACACAAGGCGCTTTGGAATCTTCGCAAAATGCGTTGTAACTGGGGAAGCGTTTATTAGATTATCACGGCATGGCCGACATCATTAATGACCTTGGACGTGTGTCTTAAGATTGGCGATTACCAGTCTGCTAGAGAGCAATTTCAGGATGCAGTGAACTTGAACAGGAAGTACCGTGGTAAACTCGTAAACACTGCCAATTGTTTCTACAATCTAGCCTCAACGTATCTTCACTTAGGAAACTACCCAGAAGCTCTTGACGTGTGTCAGCAGGCTTTGGGCATGAGACTGGAGTTACTCGGTCACAACGAGCAAACACTAAACAGCTTAGAAACCCTAGAATGCATTCATCTTAAGATGGAAACATCTGCTCAGCTGTTGAAGCATTCTGCAAAGCGTCAGACATAAAATGCAATCGGATCGGTGATAATGAAGAGGCTGGAAGCTACTGGAAATACTGGAAGTGCACTGTAAGCTAGGAGATCTCGCGCCTGAAGATGGAAATTCTAGGGGATTCCCCTGCACAGCCAAAACCGGAAAAAGACTCAGAACGGTATCTACAAAGCTGTGAGTGGACACGAATTTCAAAATTCTGAATAAGGAACATTGACATGCGAATGCGATCCGTATTCCAGCTGATCTTCTTATGAAGAGGGGGCGTCTGTATACAGGTTAATTACCATCCTTCAGTATCGGAGAGAGAAAGCATTCTTGAAAACGTGGACTACTTGGGGTTGATGTGAAGCCCCATTATTAAATCTGCTTGTGTTAACTGGCCAAAACCTCTGTCTTTATGGATCCCGTCCGGCGCCGTCCTTCACGAGTGAGTGACACTGAGGTTAATAAATGCACTTTTTCACCGGCTGGTGCGCCGTTTTGGTCGTAACCGCGACAGAACTTTTAATAATCTCTTCTAGATTGGTCTGCCCTAAAACAACACAACAACACCTTGAAATAGTTTACATAAGCAACAGTACTGTCAGGAACAATGCCTGTTTCAACGGGGATTTTATAGTCTTTGGCCCTTTTCTTGTCTCTTACAAGTAACTTGAGCGTGCGGATGTCATGGTGTGCGGAATTCAAAACAGTTGAAGCCCGAGAAATGTGTAACTCAAAGGCAGCAACCCCGGAGAGGACACACCCACCCAAGCCCCCTCCAACAACTTTCAATGCATTGCTGGCCCCCGAGGGACAGAGAATTACATGTACCTTTGTAAGGAGGGCCACAGATCACTAAACTGTGTTGTTGTCACGAACGTCAATGAAAGAAAGGACTCAAGAAACAAGGGTGTTGTTTCATCTGTCTCAAGCCCTCCCACATTGCAAATGATTGTGATTCCAAACGGGGCTGCTCAAATTGTGCTCAGCGACATCATCAAAGCTTGTGTATGGCCAATGACACTCCAGCATAAGACAACTCCGTAGCTGGCAGGTGTAACTCAGCCGCCAACCCAAGGAAGTGGACAACCAAGTTCAGCAATTAGCATTTATGTTGACAGCAAGACATGGATTTTGTTGCAAACCTGCATCGCCTTAGTACATAACCATTACAGCCCATGTTGTACCAATGATCGGTTCACCGGTGAATTATCAAGCAGTTCAATTTGCAAGGAAGAGTCGCTCATTTGAAGGACATTGTTTTGTCGGAATGTATTGCAGAAGAGAATCTTGTTGTAGACATTCTCATTGGAGCAGATCAGTATTGGAACATTGCAAATGGAGAGGTCAGAAGAGGAGAGAGTGGACCGGCTACAATGAACACAAGATTTGGATAGACATTATCTGGTCCCGTCGAGAATGCACCTCGCTCAGATACTCATTCAGTCAATTTGGCAGCAACACATGTACTCTGGATTGACGCTCGCAGAGATGACATGGACGTGCATGAGATGGAGCTTGACGAGAAACTCCGCACCTTCTGGGAATTGGAATCAATTGGAATTAAGCAGGAAGAAAACTCTGCTCTAGAAACATTCATTGAGACAATCACTCTTAGGAATCAAAGATATGAAGTTGACCTTCCATAGAAGAAAGCTCGTGACTCACTGCCTGACAATCGCAGTCTCAGTCAAAAAAGATTACAATCCTTGTTGAAGGGACTCAGCCAGAAGCTAGAGCAATTCGAGGAGTATGATCGTGTGATTAAGGATCAGCTTGACAGGGGAATAATCGAAAGAGTAGACCAATCTGAGAAAGCCCAGCCTTGTCACCAGATACATTACCTTCCTCATCACTGCGTCGTAAGAGAAGACAAGTCAACAACCAAGCTTCGCATTGTGTATAATGCATCAGCAAGAGAAAATGGGCCACCATTAAATGATTGCCTCCATACTGGACCACCCCTAACTCCTGACATCCTAGACATTCTCATAAGATTTAAAGTCCAGCCAATTGCACTAGTTGCTGACATAGAGAAAGCCTTCCTCATGATAGCCGTCAAGAAGGAGGACAGAGAACTATTTGAATGATGAGTTGTTGTACAAGTTTCAGACACCTGTGCAAAGCGCAGAAGGTCTAATGCCCACAAAACGGAATGTAATCAGAGTGATAGCAAGCTTTTATGATCCTATGGGCTCACCAATCTCACCAAGTATTGTACAAATGAAGATTCTTCTGCAAGATATCTCCAAGGCATCTGGAAGTCTTATCAGTCACATCAGAGACATAAATGGAATCTTCAGGTGCAAGGGAACGCACTGCAACTCGTCTCTACAGGAAACACCTACATTTCCCGCATGGTTGCCCTGTGAGCACCATGAGTCGACGAGAGGATAAAGGAAGCAGTCGTCCGCATTGCTGATAAGGGAAAGAGTTCTTATTTACGGCGTCCTCTACAACACTTGTTTACCCTTGAAATTCTAGATGATGTTAAGAAGAAACCGGAGAGCTTCACTGCTTGAAGACGTCACCAGTGTATTGAAAGAAGGGAACCAAGCAGAACTGAAAGAAATGCCTTTGCGACCACGGAGACAGGCAGCTCGAGCAGGCGAAGAAAGGAGGGGACTACTGACTAATGCTTAGAGCCGTTGGTTAAGCTAATTTAAAGACAAAGTTGCGTAGAGAACACATTATGACTCAGTTGCAGAATAGTTTAGATGTCTTTATTGTAGACTTTATTATTATCGAACAGTGAAGGACATTAATCAATGTTTTTGGTCCACTTGGTAAGATGGGGGTGTGCGGAATTCGAGGAATCCCCCTTAGTTTATATTGACTTATTATATGTTTTCGTTGCGTTCATGGATTGAACTCTGGAATCCTAGTTTAAACTCCGTCGGACTCACTTTAGCTAGTTGTTGTAAGTCGGAAGTCGGAATTAATTCATTACATAAGGTGAATGGCACTTGATAGTAGTATATTTAAAGTACCTTTTGACTAACCTAGGTCACATGACTTTGAATGCGAACATTTTCGCAACCAAATAGAAAATGCTTTTTTGGAGTTGCAGAATTGCGTTGTTATCTTTTAGTGTTCTTAGTGTCAAAGAGAAGTCACTAGGTAATATGACGTTAATTGTACAGTGATGAAAAAACGAAATGGAGACAGTTCTTCCGAAAACTTACGAGAATTTCACAAGAACAGTAACTCTATGTCCTGACTGAGGGATCTCATGGTTACTCTTCAGAATTCAGACTACCGTTGTAGAAAAAGTCATTTATTTTGTTCCAATTTAGCTTAGTATTTTTTCTCCTCAAATTTAGCTACGAGTGCGTAAGGTAAATGTTTTACCGGCTTTCTCGTTACATTTTGTAGCGGAATATTTTTGTAAGTTCTAAGTACTAAACTCATAACTTTTCTTGCAGTAAAAAGTAGAACACATTTTCGGCAAAATCTTTTCAATTATTTCCTCCGCAACTCGTAGTCGAAATACTCCACTGCCTTTTAGTTTCGCGAGGATTTTAATGAAAAGGTTGACATAAAGGATCGGTTGAAATTTTGCGGATAATTTTTGCAATACATTCCATTCTACGCGGCGACTGTTTTTTCCCGCGAAGGCCAAAAGTCCCTGTTAGGCGGTCTGAATATTAGTTGCGAGAGTGGATTTACTTGACAACACGAGTCAAGGTGAAGACGATCAACAACAATTTGACGTTCGCCCCTCTCTCCATCGCCTGGTGTGAAATGTTCGCCACGAGCAAAATTTACCAAAATGCAATCCTTAGTGAAACTCAAAGGCAGTAAAGTACTTGTGTTACACGTACTGTAAAAGAGTGAGTGAAATATCTTGATGTTATACCACTTTCAAGAGAAATCACAGCTTAAATTTTCTTCTGACTCTTTATAAAGGCTATTTTTATTAGAATGAAAACAACTTTGGTGTGTTTGTTGTACCGTTAATAAGTTAACAAAGGAAAAAAAATGCAAGGGGTTGCTTTAACGGTATGGAAACTGCAGTATCAAGATTTGGAGCTTTTATCTTCTTCTCGTGGTGTTTTCACAAGGTCAGGAGGTAGCGTAACCCCAGTGTTAGGGTTACCCTACCTCCTACCTCCCTAGTGCTCTTCCCCAGTGCTAGGGTTACCCTAGTAAGAGGGTTACCCTAGCACTCCCACATTT